ACAAATAATTGTGGTTCACAAACTGGCACATGATAAATTTGTTTCATGTAATTGAGAACTAACTAGGTTCTGCTGCTTTGCATATTACATATGAGCTGTTATACCTTTTAGTGGATGACACATTACACTGTGTACTCTTCAAAGTTTCTTGTAGTAATCAATACACACTACAGTAATACTTTTTTGAAAATTCCTTTTTAACTAATCACATTGATGATAATGTTGCTAGCTGTACTTGTGACTGATGACTATAAGTATTGTGTGGGTGTTTCTGGGGGGGGGCAGGGGTTGCAGAAACATTTTGATGATATCAAAGAACAGCAAGTTATGCAATGAGTATTCCATTTGTCTCGATGTCTATTTAGTGTTTAAGTCTTTTCCTCAACAATCAATGTTCTTTACAATAACAAAATGCTGCGTAACTCATGAACATAAAGGAGCTGAACTCAAATGAATAGCCTGTTAAGTGACTGAGAAACTAATCAAATTGCTCCACTCTTAGTAGCCGTTTTATTCCCCTAAGTTTATGGACTGATTTGCCTTTGCATCCTGGTTTTCAGATTATAAGATATGCCAGGAATATGGATTCATTTCATTTGTTAGATGTTCGTCATAAATCAATATCGTTTGAAAGTCCAGCAGCACTGGATAACTGTTTCATCCCATTTCAGGACACTTGATCAGTGTGAAGCCATAATCTCACCAGGAATTGAACCTGGGCTGGAATTCAATGACCTGTGAATTCTAACCTTGTGAACTCATGATACATCACCGCCCTCATCAGTGCCTTCAATGAACATTGACTTTCCATCCTGATTTGTTCCAATTGGAATTTGATTTAGGATAGATTCGAACTAAGGATTGGTTAGGGTTTAGTAACTAGTGTTAGACTGAGTACCCTTTAGCGACCGAATTCGGTGTACTTCAATCTGAACGCTGTAAACCAATTCACGCCTTCTTCTGCATAGCCTGTCAAACTTTCGTGAGTAACTCATAGTCTAAGATTATATTCCAACAATAGAAGTTGGAGTTCATTGGCCATTGAATCGCCTCACAGTGGCTGAATGGTATATGAGCTTGCCTTATAACCGGGAAGTCCTAGGTTCAAACCCCTGTGGTAGGGGTTTAAACACATGCCCTGTACTCCCTGCTAGTTTCCAGTGGTTCTCTAATTGATATCAATTCATTGTCGAACTCAAGAAACAAACCTCAACTCTTGACAATATCAAAAGATTCTGTGATACTAATCAACAATATCAGCTTATATTATAGAAAATACAACACTACTGGAACATTGCCATCTGGCAGCTATATAATCCAAACGATTCTCTAGTATCAATACATACTGTATTACCGAATGAAATGATTAAGAAGAATATTTTGCTATATACTCAAGTGAAAAGCAACAAGTTGGCAGAGGAAGCATCAAAGATTGGAGGGAGTTCCGGTGAACATAGGAAAAACAGAGGTGAGGCTGATTCCTGGCCAACAGCAACAACAATAGACAACAATCAGCATAAATGGGAAAAATCCCTTATCAATCTACCTGGAAAGCATCGTTTCAATTAAAGGCGGACGGAATTAATGAGGATGTCAAAGTGAGAATCGGGAAAGCAAGGCAAGCTTTCATTACTCTCAAGTCCAAATCAGTAGCACTCAGCATGAAAAATAAGATACGGATTTTCAACTCTAATTTGAAGTCAGTGCTACTTGCTATACGGTTCAGTGACGTGGCACCGCACCACGTCACGAAGGGCACTTCAAACAAACTACAGACCTTCATCAACAGCTATCTTCGCTCAATACTACTCAAGATCTGATAGCCGGCCAGAAAAGATGAGCAACAGAGAGGGATCTCTGGCAATGAGCAAACCAGCAGGAACGAATTGTTCAGGAAATGTGCAGGAAGAAGTTGATGTGAATTGACGCACTTTGAGAAAACCATCAAATGACATGACATGCCAGGCCATCGCTCGAGTGGAACTTGAATAGGAGGCAGCGAGTTGGTTGGTTGCCGACGCGAGGGTGACATGGAGGAGGTGATATAAAGAGGAGATGAAAGCATGCGGGCAGACGTGGAGCCAGGTGAAAACATTGGCAGAGAACCGAACGTGGTGAAGACGTCATCCGTTGAAGTCCTATATTCCTCTAGAAACTAAAGGAAACAATAACAATATATAATAATAATGGTGAGATCTAAACTCTGTCTTCCAGTTTACTGCACAACACATACTATTTTTGTAGACAGATAAAGGTCAAGCAGTCACTCCATGGAATAAACTCGACTTCCTTCAATCAAAATGCAATCATGTAATCAAACAAAATCCCTACAAAACCAATACTTGAAAATCATAATCATCTTAGATATATTTGTTTCTCGGAAAGTGCCCATCGACACACGAATAGAAGAACAACAAGGTTCAGCGAAGAGTCTCTTTTCGACGGCGAATTCATTCACTTAGCCGTACAATCGCATTTATATCTTTTTTTCCTTCGCGTTCCCAGTAGAACCCTGGGGCCTCAAGCTAGTGGCTTGAAGTTTCTATAGCAGCGTCTAATTTTACAGGATAGGGTGTCGCTAGCCTCATGCCCAACCTTTCCTCTTTACCAGCATTATTTCTGGCTTAGCGAGGTAAAGGAGTTGGTCTGTGGCAGGGGAGCGAACCCGGGACCATGTGCATGGTCGGCGAGCGTCCTAACCGCTGTGCCACCGACGCATTTATATATGTATAATTATTTTGTGCGTGTGTACATTAGGATTGTCAAAGAAAAAGGAAAATGGAAATTAGTTAAAGTTACTGTTCATGTCATCAAAGTGTTCCTGAAATGTAATGAATAATCAGAATTGTAACTAACTGAGGGGTGGCTGGGTTGAAGATTGGTAAGTATGGACAAGGGTTGTGTAATATTAAATAGGATGTGAGAGGAGACAGGTGTCCAAAAAATTATGTAATAGGTAGAAGAAAAAGATGTTACTAAGATGCTACGCAAAAATTCAAAAGACAAAAGAAGAGAACAAAATACTATTAATAAAGTCGTAGAACCTAGAATTATACCCAAGGTAGAGGAGGTGGTTTAGAAGCTTATTCTCTGTGTACAAATCAGGGTTTACTATGCGGGTTGTTAAGGCCTCGCTAGGCAATACAAAGTATACACAAGCTTACCTATCCTTTTCGGGAGGCTACTTTGCAACTTTGTAGATGATTATGAATGAATTCTCCCTACACATTAAGTGATGATTAATGTTGACTATTTGTTCAACTATAGTCCGCCTTATTGATCCACTGTTATCTTTTCCTCTTGTCTTTATTGTCATATGGTTATTCTAGATCAGTTATTTGGTAGGTCGTTTTGATTGGCTTGTATATCGCTTGGTACTCTACCTCTTTAATTTAATTTGAATAAAGCAAGAACAACAGTTTTTGCAGAATATAATGATACCATCATTGCTTATTTGTTAGCCTCTCATAAGCTGCTTACATGTCAAAGTCATTATTAAGTATACCTACATGAAAGATTTTAACATACTTGCAAAGAGAGTGCATTTTTAAACAAAAATCAGTCAATCGATATATGCATACACTAATTATACATATATTTAAAATTAAACACTATTTCGAAAAATAATGAACATATACAATCGAAACTCTCAATATTACGTAGTCAGATGAAAGAGAGATTAAAATGTCCAGTTACCAGGCAAAGAAACACTGACAGCTGCTTCTTTCTGAATGCATGAGTCAGGTTTCAGGCTCCTGAGAGATATTGCTTCAGCAAACTTGAGGAGAATTGAACTCTTTTGCCTACTGACAATTTCGAACGATCGTGTGACGTCCACCTCATGACCCTTGTCAAGGAAAATCGTGTGTATACCCTTCTTCCTCCTCTTCCAATGTAACTGCACCCGCAGATACATGTAAATTTATATATACAGTTGGAGTTAACATGAGAAGGCTATGTATCGATTTCTGACTGCATCAAAGAGCAAGTTGTTCGATAGATAGGAACGAGCCTAACTGCAGGATAGGCTCTGGCTAGTGACGTACTCAGTCTTCTGTTGACCATTGCTACAATGTTCTCACCTTTATAATCATGTTGAATGTAGATTGCCTTCTTCTCCACTGTGATTTGTTTGACATTTGAGATTTGAGATCTTCCGTACTTGTTAATGAATCTTTAAGGGTAACCATTGCTCTTCAACATCTTTTCGAGAAACATAAATTCTTCCTCTAATTTCTCTATAGAGCATGATCTAGCTCTATAGTATAAAGTCTTGACCAGTCCACGTTTAAAGCTAGCCATTCGGGCAAAAACTGTGAAAATGTAAGTATTGTCCTTTCTAAGTAGGCTTTCGGTAAATTGACTTCTGAATACTACTGTCTTCTAGGCATTTCATGGCACTGTCGAGGAAGTGAAACTTCCCATTGTAACGACAGAAGGCAAGAGTCAAGCAACAGATCATTTATTAAGGAAATCAACACTTAATTATATATTTTCATATACCTTATTATAGCTTATTGAAGCAAACAAACACAGTCTTCCGACTGATTGTTCCTCACAGATAGTTGACCTTGCATCTCTTTGTGACTGTTTCTTAAATATCAGATCATCTATATGTTAACTGTATCTTCCTACGCAAAGTCTACTGTGGTCGGTTGTTGAATCAGTCTTTGTTCATATTTTATCACGACCAATATTTGCGATATAAACATTGACGTAATCTAATATCTACCGATTGGCTAGCAGCCTGCTCTCACCACACCATCATTTTAATGTTCCATAGTGAACTTACTATTGGTATATGCAAAAACTGTTGTTCTTGTTATATTCAAATTCATTAAAGGGAATAAGAAAATGTATGAAATCTCTTTTATTTAATTAATTAATTCATTTATTCTAGAATTTTCATTAGATAAAAAAAACAAACCAAACCCCACATTTAAGTAGCTTCTATCGCTTATCCTTCTGTTTTTTTACCTATTATTATAACTTTCTTCAAGTTATCCAAATTACTGACATCACATTGTTTAGTCATGCTGTCTACAGATGTACAGTTGATGAAAGTGAATATGAGTAAGAAAATTGTTAATTAAATTCAAAATGCACCTACTAGTTTAGTAGTTGTTTTTTGTTTGTTGGTTTGTTACTTTGTTTCTTTGAGTTTTTTCACTGTTACAACCATCGTTCCATTGTATACTTATGTCTTGATTTTCTGTGTGTTTTCATAGTGTTGTAATCGTTCACTGCCTCTCTCTGTCTCTATGTTTGTGTGTGTGTGTGTATGTGTATATGCAAGTGCGTGCGTACGTGTGCATTTGCTCTGTTCCCGTTAATGTTGTAGTTTTGACTATTCTTAGCGCTTTATTAATTAACGCACAGTAACCTAATGTCACTATGAGTTTTGCTCTCACTTTGTCTTCTTCTATTTTTAATGTTTACTAATCTTCAAGTATTGGTTTTGTAGGGATTTTGTTTGATTGCATGGAGGATTTCATCCTGAGCTGACATCAGTTAGAGAACCACTGGAAAACCTGGGAGCACTGCACAGCTGTTTCGTCCTAGTTTGGGACTCTTCAGCAGTACGCACCCACTGGGGTTCAAACCCAGGACCTTGTGGTTACAAGGCGAGCTCTTAGACCATTGAGCCACTGGGACCCGATCCAATTTACTAATTTGCTTTTTAGAGTTTAATTGTATCGGCATTTTGCTTACGTCGCACACACACACACACTCAAACACATACACTGTGAGTTGGAATGATGATTAAGGCTAAGATATGTACTCATTTCAGGTTAGATCGCCGACTGGCGTCAGTTAGAGGACTACTGAACAGCATAATCCCCCCCTTACCTGATATCGAACTCAGGTTCTTCAGGTTATAATGAGGCTTGTGTCCAGTCAGACATTATGATGTGGTCCAATGGTCAATGGGCTGTAATTCTTCCCAATTTACGATTCATCAGAACTGACAGTCACTGGATTACATTTTAGTGATTGAGTAGTCAGTAGACTTGCCTCGTAACGTGAATGTGCTAGATTCAATCCTCGCTAATAGGGTAACAGATGCACGCTGATGAAGAGTCTTATTTATTTATTTATTATTCCTTTGCCTTCCAAGTGGAACTTAGGACTTTAACAACACGTCCCCACTTTGTTCCATTTCCTGCCATCATCTTCAGCTGGCCAATTCCACAATTGACGAGACTCTCTCATCTCATGCTCACACGACCTCCTCCATGTCACCCTCACAATGAAGATCCACTAGTCGCTTCCCATTTGAATTCCATTCGAGCACTGGCCTGGCGTGCAATGTTATTTTGCGGCCTCCTCAATGTATACCTGAACCATCTTCACTTTCTCTTACATATTTATTGAGCGATCGGCTCTCACCTGTTGGTCTTTTTTCCACAGTTTCTTGTTATGTATTCTTTCTGGCCGGAAATCTAATCTTCAGTATGGAGTCAGCTGTTGATGAAAGTCTGCAGCAAGCTGTTGGAAATCCTTTTTCGTAACAGGCTGTGAAAGTTTCTCACCCTATAGAATAACCGACTTGACATTGGTATTGAAAATGCGAATCTTGTTTCTTATGCTGAGTCAGTGCAGAAGATTTTCAAACTGGTTTCAGGTTGATGTCGGCGTATCTTGCCTTTTCGATTCTGAAGTTGACGTCTTCATCAGTTTGGCTGACATGTAGCTGAAATGATGCTTCCTAGCCAGATAAGTGAAGGAGGTAACCTTTGTTAAAACTATCCTGTTGATGGTGATTGGTTGGTTATGTTCATCACCTCCGTCTTCTTAGTGTTTTCTGAGTCTTAAACTAGTGAGGAAATAGCCGTTCAGTACTCTCTACTGAAGTCAGTTAGTTCATGATCTGACTTGAAATCAATTAAATCTCTCTACAAATCAACACCTGAAAATATATATGTACTCAACTAGGATGATTAAAACGTGAAGTCTTTTGAAAACTAGGCGATTACAAAAAGTGACCATCAGCGTCCTAAAAACTCATCAAGTGAACTTGATAATTCGATGAAAAAAGTCACACGATAAGTAAATATTTCTGACTACAAAAAAAATACATAATTTTCATTGGACAATAATCAGTAATTAGTGTAATTCTCTCAGTCAAGTTTGCAGTGTGACCATCATGATATGAAAGGTAGCTCGTCATTATGGTGGACTGTGAATTGTTAGTATTAGATGGTTGGAGGTAATCGGAATGAAACCTTGCATCTAGGTTTCGTGCTAGTTGGCGCTCATCAGTAAGGTGTATCTGCAAATTTGAAGGAAGTCTTGTTCCTTCTGAGATTAAAACCAGTGTGGTGGCGATCCACCTAGCACCAAAGATAGCACTGGATACATCACCCTAGTTACTGACTAGTGTACAATCAAAAATATCCAGTACCATCCTATAGGAGGTCATTGTCGAGCCTGAATAGCTCAGCGGTAACGACTTTGACTGCAGCACTGGGTGACACATGTTCGAATCTCAGAAGGGACATGATTTCCTTTGAGGTTGCAGACACTCCTGGCTGATGAGTGCTAACTAGCACAAAACCTAGGTTCAAGGCATCTTGCCGACCGTCTCTAACTATCTAACACTACCAATATACATATTTAAAACTAACTAATGAGCAAGAATGAATCTGATTGGGGATAATAATCTCTTTAAGATACTGTAAAGTGGTAGGTTCTATTAGATCGATGCTAAGTGTAATAATGTGCGTCGGTGGCACAGCGGTGGAGTACTCGCTGACCATGCACGTGGTACGGTGTTCGATTCCCTGCCGACCCCACAGTCCTTCACCTCGCTAAGCCAGTAGAAAGACTAGTAAAGAGCGAAGGTTGGGGAATGGCATGAGGCAAGTAACCTCATCCTGTAAAAATAATCACCACTGCTACAGAAACTTCATGCTCTTAGCTTGAAACCCAGCTATGTTCCACTGGGAACGTAAAGGAATAAAAGAATCTAATAATGCCAATCTCCAAGTCCCTATTCAACCATTGCCATAGCGTCAACTATAGTCTAATTTTAACCTTCGCCTTAACTCTAACTACTCCCCCTAAAGCTTACAGATAATTAACTGTAAACTCTAGCCCTAATAAACTTAAATTATCAACCTTATTCAAAGCCAAAACATTATCATCATAAGCCCTAAGGCCATCTTTAATCCTAATCATCACTGGAAGAATGGTTAGAATATAAACCCTTAGAGTAGCTCGTCTCGAGAATGATTAGTTTTTTTTAAGGTCACTTGTTCTTGTAAGCTTCTCGTACTATACTCGAAAGTGAAGTGCAAAAATAAATTATAAATTAGTTAACTAATTCAAAATGACATGAATTTATAATATTATAGTTTATGAAACTTTATTTGAATTAGTCACTGGAGAGAGAGAGTAACCCCTTTTTTCGTATATGAAGTTTTTAGTGTTGGTGCCGATTAAATTCTGTCAGTCAGATGGAAAAGATGTTCACCGAACAAGGTAATTCACTAATGCGGGAGCAACCGACAGGTAGTTCTAGACCTGGGTTAGTAGTGCTTATGTTTGGAAAGGTAATTGATGATTTTGTGTAGCCGCATCGATTACGATGGTTACGACATGTGTTATGTATGCCAGGAAACTACCTCCCTTCTCGAAGAGTGTTAAATGACATAAGAATTGGTTAGTAGAGAGTTTGATCAGAATATGCCGTAAATGCGTGAACTCTTTGATTGTTGGTTTTGAGTCTCTTGATGGAGGGGGGAAGGGCGTAGACTGTTTGCCTAGTGTCTCTAAAACTTTAAGAACCACCGGCTTGAGAAAGTCGAATCATTTGTGTGCGTCGGTGGCACAGCTGTTAGAACGCTTGCCGACCATGCACATGGTTTGGGGTTCGATCCTCGGCCACAGACGCACTCCTTTACCTCGCTAAGTCAGAAATAATACTGGTAAAGAGATAAGGTTGGGCATGAGGCTAGCGACCCCATCCTGTAAAATCAAATACTGCTACAAAAACTTCAAGCCACTGTCTTGAGGCTCCAGGTTTCTACTGGGAACGTGAAGGAAAAAACATTGAATCATTTAGATTAGAATTCTAAAATTTATCTGCAATTCGATCGTTAATAGATTATAGTTAAAAATACACGTTTGTGGTAAAATGTATAATTGCAACAGTAAATTGAACACCAGCGTTACAAAGTAAATGATTGTGAATGACAACGAATATATGTGGTAATAAATTCTCTTGAGTCATGTTCATACTGTGGGTCGGTGGCACGGCGGTAGAGTGATCGCCGGGATACGATCATCGGCCACAGACGCACTCCTTCACCTCGCTAAGCCAGTAGTAAGACTAGTAAAGAGGGAAGGTTTGGCATAAGGGTTGTAACCCCATCCTGTAAAGGTAATCACCACTACTACAGAAACTTCAAGCTTCCATCTTTAGCTTGAAGCCCTCACTATGTTCCACTACGAATGTAAAAGAATGAAAAAAAATGTTCATTTTAAGTTTTATTCATATTGATGATAATCTTCAGATGGAAGAATGATCATATCAAGGACGGGGGTAGAGAACAAATTTTGGGTTAACATTTGATGTGCGTTATGTGTATCATTGTGTATGTTAACAGCTATGTTGAAAATAAGAAAACAAAAGGTTAGTTAATGCAAGTGTAATGACAGGGGGTAGAGCAATTTATATGTACAGGATGGAGGGCCATATCAAAAAGGCCTGTGTAATAAGGTATTTGTGAATTTGGAAACTCTGCAGCAGACCAGAGCACTAATAATAGTTGAACTTTTTCTGCTGTTCACACAACTCCGGTTGTCTTAAACGGATCGCGATAGCCTCTGTTGTTTGGGTATGAGGTACCTGGATGCTTTTAGGAATTTGTTTGACACCCGGTAGATGATGATGGAGAAGGACACTTCAATAAGACGTTTAGTTCGCCAGCATTAAAAGTACTTTGAACTGATTTTCTTAACTTGTTAGTAAAATTATTTCGCTTGGTATATCGCCCTTGAATCGCAGTCGTATATATATAAAGGCTTTTTGTTTACGGATAGTGGGTAGTCCTTTTCCGCTTTCTGTGTCATGTGTTTCTTCATAAATTTGTCGAGATAGCTATTTACAATGCTAAGTTCATCTTCAATTACATCTTCGCAGCATTCAGCTCTCACCTTGTAGCTAAGGATTCTTATTAAAATTTGATGTACTGAAGAGGCACAAAGCTATGAAAATATGTAGATTGTCCTGTCGGGTACTTTTCTTATGCAAATATGTCTTTATACTACCATCTGATTTCTTGTAAAAGGACGTCTAAGAAGGTGATCCTATTTTGGGATTTCTCTACACACACGTGAATTTGATAGCTGAATGTACTTGACTGAAGTGAGTTATTATTGAGTTCCTATCCAAATCATTTTGACAAAGAATGAGTCTCTTGGGGGGGGGGGGTGGCGTAGACTGTTTGCCTAGTGTCCATGAGACTCTAATAACCAACGGTTTGAGAAAGTTAGTGATATAGTTCAAAATCTTTCTCAACTTTGCAGACGCATTCAGCATTTGAAACCTTCTAGATCGATTATTGAACAAAGAATATTCTTCATTTCTGCACCGGCAATAAAATGGGAATTTCCTGAGAAGGTTGTTCAAAGCACCATTTTCTAGTTTGCTTAGTAAGAAATCTGATAACATGGAACTCAACAGGGAGCTCACTGACACCCCGTCCACTTGTCTGTTAAGTGTGCTTTCAAAATTAAAATTTACATTCATGGCACACGTTAATAACAAAATTCTTTTAGGATTTCTGTCGGGATACCAATATCTATAAACTTGGTATACAATTGTTAACATATGTAGTGAACTGTTTCTTCCAGATTTCTTTAAGTCTTCTTTATCCCTATAAAATTATTCTTCCTCTTTTACGTTTCCGTTCAGTGTATATGTTTGCAAGCTCTATGAATCGTGGTCGTGGTGCATTTTTACTTGATGTTAGATTGCTGGAGGTAATCGTAGCTTGAATAATTCGCTAGGTGACTGCAACACTGAGTTGTGTAGGCTGAATCTTCAAGGAGAAATCGATTTCTTCGGGGTGACGGCTACTCCTTACCAATAATTGCCAACAGGACCGAAGCACAGTTGACGCAAGGACTTATGCCAATTGATATAACCCATCTAAAATTAGTCACAATGATTGTACACAGGCTCAGTAGGGACCTTCGGGTTATGTTGCTAACTTGTTAACCATTCGACTATCGGGTTGAAATTCAACCAACTATGACTTTTCATGTTCTGTCAACTCGTGATGC